GGAGGCAGCCAATCAGTGATTCTCTCTCATCATTGATGTTTCTATCTCTCTCCTTCTCCCTTCCTCTCTGAAATCAATAAAGAAATATATTTTTTTAAAAAAAAAAAAGAAGAAAAAGAAAAATGTCCAATGTACAGAGAATTTGCAAAAATAGTACAAGGAACTCTGATTCTCCAACTGTTATCATGTGACACCCCCCACACACACACACACTATCGACCTGTTTGCTGAACCATGGGGCGCAGCGGCAGTGAGTGACCCTTCACCTCTCGCACCGCGTGGCTCCCGAGACCAAGGCCGAGCGTTCCACCGCGGGCAATGGCACACGAGGAAATGTGCCCCTGATTCAGCGCTATCACCGAGTCCCAGGCCTCATCCCTCCGCCCGGGGCCCCACAGTGCCCTGCTCGCTGTTGCTTTTCTGGTCCGGCTCTAAGCCCAGGCCGGGCGTGGCGTTTACTAGGCAGGTTCCTTTGGGCTCCTTTAATCTGGAGGCTTGGATCAGAGGCCAGGTGATGAGTGGGCAGCTGTTGGCGCCGGCCAGGCCTCCCTCCTGCAAAGGGAACTTCACTTTGATACCGTGTGAAAATGTCATCGGCTGCTTTTAGCGTCTGTTAATGATCCTGTGCCTGAACCAATTACCATGGAGGCGGTGTGACAGGTTTACAGGGCGCTTTGGGAGAAACAAAAGAGCTTTGTCCGGTTCCTCAAGGTCCTTCGGCCAAAGAACAGAGCCGCCCCAGGCCCAGTGGCTTCCTGGGCCTGTCCTGTGCTGAGAGGCCCCTGCTCTCCGGTGTTTGATCCTGGGAGAGGCTGGGAGGCGGGGCAGAAACCACAGGGTCTTACAGTGTGGAGGAAACTGAGGGAAACTGAGGCCAGAGGGAGGAGAAGTGGGCAGTACAGAGTGGCTCCTCCCATGGACCGGAAAGGAGGCTTTTGGGCCAATTGGAGCACAAAGTTTCAGGGTCCAGGTTGGGGCGGCCTGACCCCTGGCAGGCCCGCTGGTCCCCGCCCGTTACCTGTGCAGGAGACCTAGGTGGTCAGATTTAGCAAATAAAAACACAAGGCACCTGATTACATTCGAATTTCAGGTAGACAATGCATAATTGTGCGGTATTGCCCCAAATATGGCACTTGAGTATAGTTAGACTTAAACCCAGCCACCATGTTGTGAGGAAGCCCAAGCAGCCCACAAGAGGCCTCTGACCCCGAGCTCAGCTGAGCCCCCAGCCAACGGCCAGCACCAACTTTGCCAACCATGTGAGGACGCCATCTCCGGGCCCCAGTGGAGCCACCCCACCTGACACCCTGTGGAGCAGAGATGTGCCACCCCCCACACAAGCCCTGCTCAGAACTCACATTCATGAGCAAATGAACAGATTGTTATTTTTCATAGCACTAAGTTTTAGTGGTTGGTTACACAATAATAGTTAACTGGGGAAACCTCATGAAGAAACTCTCCCCATTTTACAGATGAGAAACTGAGGCACGGGGGATTGAAATCCTTCACCCGGGGTCTCACAGGGAGTTAGTGGGAACTGGCATTTGAAATCAAACTCTTAATGTTGTATTTTGATGAACGGATGTTCTTAATTTTAATGAAGTTCAGATGATCAGTGTTTTTATGATTAATATGTTTTTTAAATATGTTTTTATTGATTTGAGAGAGAGAGGAAGGGAGAGGGAGATAGAAAAGTCAACGAAGAGAATCATTGAGTGGCTGCCTCCTGCACTCCCCCTACTGGGGATTGAACCCACAACTCACAATGGTTCTGGTATCTCATCTGACGTTCAACACGTAAGGTCCTGGTGTCCCAGCACATGGAGTGCTACCATGTATCTGACCAAGTTCCATTGAGAGATGCCCGCAACCAAGGTACATGCCCTTGACCGGAATCGAACCTGGGACCTTTCAGTCTGCAGGCCGACGCTCTATCCACTGAGCCAAACCGGTTTCGGCCCATTGAGAGATATTTAGTTTGTTCCTAATTTTTCACCATTTTGGACAAAACTGTGGGGAAGACCCTTGCAGGTATATCTTTGCATTGCCCCAACTATTTCCAAAAAATAAATGCTTAGACATGGAATTTCTTGGGCAAAGAGAGACCAAAGTTTAACGATTCCTGGTAATACAGCCAGACAGCCAATGGGCACCCTGTGCGAGAGGCATTTTCTAGGAGCGTCATAACTGGCTGGCTTCAGAAAACAGACATTTATTCTCTCCCAGGTCCGGAGGCCAGAAGCCTGGAATGCAGGTTGGTTCGTCCTGGGGGTCCTGAGGGAGAAACCTTCCCCTGCCTCTCCTGGCTCCTGGGGGCTGCTCCCAGCCTTGGTGTTTCTCGGCCTGCAGCCACATACGGATTACCTCCGCCTCCACCCTCTCTCTGTCCTCTCCCCTCCCGTAAGATTGCCAACCTGGGGATTTAGGGCCCATCCTCAATCCTGGATGATTGAATCTTGAAACCTTTAAGATTCTGCAAAGACCTCTTTCCCAATCAGGTCACAGCCTGAGGCTCCAGGTGAAGGGAACTTGTTGGTAGACAAGGTGTTCCCAGCTTGGGTTTAAGCTGTGGGCACCTGGGGCTCAGGCAGAGCGGGGCGGGTCTGGGCAGGCCAGTCCTGGCTGACAGGTGTTTGTGTCAGGGGCTGAGCAGCCCCCAGGGAGGGGAGCCAGCCTGGGGGGGAGGGGGAAGGTGCGTGCACGGGAGCTGGGCCCCTGGGCACCACAATCTCTGCCCTTTCTGAGCACTTGCCAGCACTGTTCCAGGTGCTGGACCCAAAACAAAGCCGTGCAGGGAAGAGGTATTCGGAGTCTCTCTCACAGTGTCCATCACTGGCTTTGGTCTCTGAGCCGCCCCCGGGCCTGGGCTGCCTACGCTGTTTTTGGTTTGTTTGTTTTTAATCCTCACCCGAGGATATTTTTCCATTGATTTTTAGAGAGAGTAGGAGAGGGGAAGACAGAAATGTCGATGTGAGAGAAACATCGATGGGTTGCCTCCTGCATGAGCCCCAACCAGCGCCCGGGCCAGGAAGGAGCCTACAACTGAGGTACATGCCTTTGACCGGAATCAAACCTGGGGCCCTTCAGTCTAAAGGCGGGTGCTCTAGCCACTGAGTCACACCGGCTGGGGCCTGGGCTGCCTGCTCTGGAAGGCCAGACTCTGAGCTCCGCCCTCCTGCATATAACCCGTGGGAAGCACTGAGCCTGAGCAGCGGGGAGGGCCGGGCCAGGCCAGGCGGCCTCGTCACTAAGGCGTCCAGCTTTCAGCAAGAAGGGAGCAAACCGCAGCCAGGCTACTCGGAGGGACAGACCGGCTGGCTGTGGGCACCACGGGGGAGGTGCCAAGGGCCCCCGAAGGTGTAAGATCCAGAATGCTCCTGGTTGAAGAGCTGGTGCTATTGAGCGCTTCCTGTGTGCCAGGCACTGTTATAATTCATTCAATCCCCACAATAAGCCAATGTGCGTTACAGCTGGGGAAACTGAGGCACCAAGCTATG